ACTCACAAGAGAATGAATATTTACACTATGCAAATAAGCTCCGCCCACATTATGATTTACTCGAGATGGGCGGGCCACACGTATGTTGCATGTATATGCAGTAGTCTAAATCATTGAGCGGGATTGGAATGCCAACTTGGAAAGGAGGGGGGGGGGGCGCCATATACCAGCAAATAATTTGAATTGGGAAAGTAGTTATCCCAAAAGTAAATGCAGGCCCATTTTTCAGTCAGTCTCATTTGAAGGGAATAATTTTTGTACAAAAAGAGCCACAATTTAAAACAATTTCTATGTTTGGGGTGAAACTCAGAAATACACCCACTTGAGATACCACTTGAAAATGAAGGGTAAAATATAACTAATTAATCTTTCACAAGGCTGCGGACACTTAATTAAGTAGCTAATCTTAGCTTCGCAGCCAATTCAAAAATGCAAATCGGTAACAAATACTGACAAAGATTAATACAGAGTTACACCTGTATTGCAAGCGGGAGGGGACATTAGCAAATGACTGTTTAAAAAGTCACTTTTCCTTCTTTTTTTTTACTAAATGTTATTTAATGCTTTGTTGGACCAGTCCTGATTGCTTGTTGTTGGGTTGGGAGTTTGCAAAGATTAATAACTCCTAGACGACGACCACATAAAGGAGTGCATCAAAATTATAAAAACACAGATGTCACATATAAAAGGGACATGAACAAAATGAACAACAAAATTTATAGAATGACCCGATTATGTACAATTCCAGTTCATGAATGGAAGGACCTGTTACATCTTTTTGATTCACAATCGACCGGTTGAACATGGATATGTTAGAGACTAAGACTTATGAATATTGAAATTTATGTAAATGACTGTCTGTCCACTTGACATAATGTTTGAATAGGAAGGATTAACTGTACCTTCCCGTTGATTTTCGTTAACACATCTTGTCAAAAATATTCTGGTAAATGGTAAGGTAAATGTTGAACTTGCATTACCGACTTTTGGGGGTAATGGGAGGACGATACGGTCATACCCCCCAGCCCCGATCCGTCCACCAATCGGGATTTGGGAAGGAAAATGAGCTTTTTAGAAATTGTCAAAATGTAGGAAGCACAATTTACGCCACTTATTTCACCGTGTAGTCCCACGGACAATTTGACGGCATTAAACCTGTTAAACCTTTATCCTTAGTTTCCAAAAGGCTGCAGAACATTCAGCAAATAGCTCATCTTAACTTCACAGCCAGCACAAAAATAAGTCAATGCGGTTAAAACTGCACGTCCTGATGTCCATACGTTTGTGTAAAATCGGGACAGTAGGTAAATTCAGCGATTCTTCTTGTGAGAGACTCGTTATTTGAGTTTCCTTCTTTTTTTGACTTGCCCTGTATGCATATTACGTGGTTGCAATGAAACAGGTACAGCATATTGGTCTCTCTCAAAGACGGCCATCTCTGTATGAGAACTGCAACTGCGTATTTTAAGCAATCAAACGCGCATTGCTTAGTGTTGAAAATGTTCCAAACATGCATGCTTGTTGCTCGAAATGTGTTCAAAATACAATGCAATAGATGCACGTTGTACAAGTTGACGCTCAAAATGCACGTGGTTGCTCTGTAGGAAATGACGTCATTTGAGAGATACCTATTTTGATAGCGGTACCGGTCATTACTTGTAATTTTATCAACTTGGGGCTTAGTTTAATCAGTATTAACCTTAGTCATTCCATAAATATTAAGGTTCAAAGTGTGACATTTTATGTGTCCCTGTTACCTTCATACTTTGTAATGTACCATGCAGGCATCATTAAAAATGACTTCAAACAATTTTCATTATTTGTTGGGTAGGTAGTTTGCTATTAGTAATCACTCTTAAGAGACACCCGGGATTGCACCCACAGTTACAAAATCATACTTGTACTTGTAGATGTCAGATGTAGGCCTAAATACTAACAGGGAAAGGGAAAAAGTTAACCAAAAATGTATTGAACTTGCAGAAGTACAATTTATGAATGGAACGTAAGGACCCTTCACATACAATCAATCAAGACATCTTTGTTTCACAATCGACCGGTTGAACATGGATGTTACGTCATAGAGACTAAGACTTATGAATATTTAAATTCTTAACATGGTTCTGCCTACTTGACAGACCGCTTGAACAGGAAGGGTAAAATGTATCAGCCCGAGAATTTTTGTTAAAACATCTTGTCAACAATCTTCTGGCAGAATGTAAGTGAATGTCAAACTTATATTACCAACCTTTTTTTTGGGGGGGGGGGGGGAATAACTGGAGGCCATGTCCCATCTCTCTCCCCGGTGCACCACTCGGGATTTTGGGATGATAATGAGTTTTTTCTATTCTTAACAGTCCTGAATCCTCCAATTTCAATACAATTTTGAACACCCCCCTAGGGAGTAAGGGTTAATGATCAAACCACACCTTACTCTAAGACCTCTCAAGGCAACCTCGTCCCCAGGGTGTCGAGCAGTACGCGCCCACCACTACCTGCTCTCTCACCCTGGTATTGGATCATTTGCATGTGCAAGATTTTTGAACACGTATGCAAATTAGGAGTAGTCTGGTGCCTGCATGTGCATTACATTTGCGTTTGTTTTTGTATGCGGTGTCTGGGGTAAAAACAGAATCAATTCGTCGCAGCGCGAGCATGGCGCGAGTTACGAAAACATGATTTTATTTTAATTAAACTGTTACGATCTTAACGAGACAACATGCAGTATCACATTTCATATTAATATTAACAAACTGGAAAGGAAATTAATATTTTCGAGAAGGCCTGGACGAATGATCGCGAAAACACGTACTGCACGTTGTGAATAACAACACCAAGTACACGATATAAATCCATTTCTAGCCAATTGCGGTATCGAATCAGGATGCAGGAAGGAAGTTTCCTATCCAGGGTTTACTATTGGAAACAACGTTGGAAATAAAGTAAGCACTGGGGGGACGAGGTTGCTCTCAAGGTAAAGTGTCCGTCTGGGTTCTTCCCCGGCAAATATAATCAACATTTTAGACCTCTAATTTAACCACATAGTCCCATTGACGATTTAACCAGAACTACATCTCTCCTTTCCATTATTTCTACAGGCTGCAGAAAAATAAGCATATCAGCTCGTCTTAACTTCACAGGCCACACAAAAATTAATCAATACGGTTATACTGTACACCATATGTTTTACACACACTACCAGGTAACAGAAAGCAACTGACCCAGGTAAAACTTCGCTACACGTTTCTCACAGTGGGGAAAATACAGTGATTCTACTTTTTACCAATAATAATGCTTGATTGGCCGTCTCGACTTCTTGACGATGAACGAATGCAAGTTTGTGCACCAACCGGCACTTTTCATGAACAAGGCAACATTCCTTCAAATTGAAACTTAGACAAGTGTCTTTCACAGACATGCAATTGGAACACTCACAAGATATGAATATTTATATTTATGCAAATAAGCTCCGCCCACTCACAATTTACTTGAGATGGGAGGGCCATCATGAACTGTACCTTTTATACAGGCATGCAGTGGTCTAATAATCCTTGGCGGCAATTGGAGAGCAGGATTGGGATGGCAACTAGGAAAGGGGCGGGGGCAGGCTGGCTGGACACCACAAACTTTATTTTAAATTTGGACATCTGCATTACTTAAAAAAATTGTTTATTTTGAGATGTTTTTGCGAGAGGACTGGTACCTTTGTTAGGCCAAAAAAAATAATACTTCTGCTTCCGGTTACCCGACCGACCCTATTTTTAGGCTGCGACCCTAAAAATTGTATCGGCAATTCCAAAAAAAAAAATTTAAAAAAATTATTGAATAAATAAAAATAAAAGCTTGTCGTCTTTTCTGTCTTCACAAAATACCTCTCAACAACCCATTTGTGTCAAAAAATGCTTGTATTTATTTGTTTTCTTACTTACATTCGCTATTTTTTCAAAAGAAACCTCCGTCATTTTTACAAATTCGCTTCGCGATCATCATACCTCGCATTTCCATGTCACGGTGACTATATAGCTAGCTCAACTAGCGACGACTGGTTCCCGCTGCGCCGCGCAGGGGCCAATTTAGAAGACATGATGAAAATGCCGTAACCAGTCTGTCATGGCTATGCGATCGCTAGCACTAGCATGGCTAGGCACGTGCACTGTCAGTGTCAACTGGTCGGATTCGACATCGTAAAAATGCCAAGAAAACATCGATGGACAAAGAACATTTTTGCAAGTTAATTCACAGAATTGATCTAGCTTGTCTGTGTATGTATTTTCTGTGTTCAAGACTTCATTTTGAGATCGCACTACTTGTATTTGGAGTGATACATGCAGCGTGTTTCCCGAAATTTTCGACCGTAAAACAAGGTCTGTCGGCCGCGCGCACACACGCACAGTGCATCACACACTTCAGAGTTTTGGCCAGCTTCCCGTCTTGACAAGCGTTGTGCATATGATGCGAACGACCTGAATTTTCCATTATTTTTGAAGAATTATCGAACGTAAATATATTGACAATAATTAAGGTAGGTTTTATTCACTTTTTGTGGCCATTTTGTGTATACCTTTTGTAGTGCAAATAGTTCAGGCTGAAACTTCGCATATAATTGAATACCCCATTCAATCTGCATAAAAAACAATTTCCGACCGACCGACCCTATTTTTGAAAGGCATGTAATCGGAAGCAGAACTATTTTTTTTTTTTCGGCCTTATCAAAAATTAAAAGGGGCAAGAACCGTCTTTTCCTGCGAGAAATTAATAATTGACTGTCGGCATATAAGTGGAAATTTGGAAAGTAGTTACCCCACAACTAACGCAGACCCATTTTCTTTTGGTCGATATTTCTTTCAAAGAAAATTATTTGTGTAGGAAAAGAGCAATTTAAGAATGAAATTTATTTCGGGGTAAAACTCAGAAGTAGCATTGACAATCTCTATGCAAACCAGATCCACACTATTAGTGCCGCAATTATCGTTGGTGTTAGAAATCCACTAAACTGCACTCACCTGGATGTTGTCGGAGTTCATAGGCTGGCCCCTCATGACGCGCTCGTTGACGAAACGCTCCAGGCTAGGGCGGAGTCGGTCAAGTGGAGCGGGCTGGCCTAAGAACATGGCGGCAAAGTCAGCAATCCCTAGCTGCTGGGTCACGAGGTCAAGCACCTCACCCATGAAGCCTGGCGCATGGAATAATACACATTGTGCTGTTAGACCAATGACGGCTATAAACTGAACTGGTGGCTGCATGCTGATTGGCCTATGCACCTTGAAGCAGGTTATCCACCATCTTGGATCCCCCAAAACATCACCTCAGGCACATGATTCTGGTTATTTTTTTATGCCCTGTTACTTGTGACCGGACTTGGGAACCGACTTTATGAATTGACTTGAGATGTGACTTGTGATTTGACTTAAGCCCGGTTCATACTTCACGCGAAAATGAAAGCGAAGCGAAATTTGTGACATCAACAGTACGTTCGAAGCGCGTCCACCATTGTTGACGACATGAATTTCGCTTCGCACTTGCTTTTGCATGAAGTATGAACCGGGCTTTACAATTTGACTTGCGTTTTGTGATTTGACCTGCTCTGACCTGTGATTTGACTACAATTTGTGATTTGACATGTTCTGCAGCCGATTTCACGAAAAAGTGCGCAGCTTGCGCCATGCTTAAGACTTACGCCACAAATTTGTTGCACAGCTGCGCAATACATTTACGATCGATTTCAGAAAACTTGGCGTATCTGTGCAAGGTATTAAATAATGTAAACATCTTGGACGAGGATGAAAACAGCATTTATGACGCACCTACGCATTATCCGACTTTCGTGAAATGTGTCATACGTGAAATGTTGCGCAGCATGAAATGTTAGGCAACTTTGACAACTTAACGCAATAAATTTTGGCGCAAGCAGAGTTGCGCCATTTTGTAAGGTTTCGTGAAATCGGCGGCTGACCTGTGATTAGATTTGTGATTTGACTTGGAATTTGACTTATGCTTTGACTTGTGATTTGTGACTTGACCTGTTCTGACCTGTGATTTGACTTGTGATGTAACTTGCAATTTGACTTACGATTTGACTTGACTTACGTTTTGTAATTTGACCTGTTCTGACCTGTGATTAGACTTATGACTTGCAAATCGACTTAAGATTTCACTTGCGATTTGTGATATGAGCTGATTAGACTTGTGATTTGACTCGCAACTTGACTTGCAATTTGACTTGCAATTTGTGATATGACCTGTTATGACCTATGATTAGACTTGTGATCTGACTCGCAACTTGACTTGCAATTTGACTTGCGATTTGTGATTTGACCTGTGATTAGACTTGTGTTTTGACTGGTATTTTGACTTACGATTTGACTTCTGATTTGATTTGCCAGTTGTGAGTTGACCTGCACAGGCTGCACTGACCTGTGAATTGACTTGTGATTTGACTTGTGATTTGACTTGTGATTTGACCTGTGATGATCAGTGATTTGGCATGCGATTTGACTTGATCTAGGCTTCATTACAGATTCACAACTCTGGCACATCTGCACGTACCTTCTCCGGGCTCCACGCCCACGCCCATGCCAGCCAGGAACTGTCTCATGGACTGGTTGCTGCGGGGCCTGGTGCCCACATCCCCCATCTCCTGCGACATCCTCATGACCATGTTTATCAGCATATGGTCCGTTAACGGCTCGCCGCTTCGGCCGCCTGGCTCCGAGCCGCCAGTGGGGGCACTAGAGGACGAGCCTGAGGACCCCCCTGCTTGACGAGGCTGCTGCCGTGTTGCTTGTGCTGTGAGGATATACATATTTAACATTTTAATTTAATCATCCTTACTGGCAGCAAAAGCTGAATTGCAAAGGACGCAACTGCAACGTGATCGAGTCAAAGTATGTAGACACATGTGCTCAGTGGCACAGCCAGATCGAAAGCGTTGATATTTGCGGAGGGATGAGAACCAGGGGAACTGGGAGAAAAACCCTCGTGGCACAGGACAGAATGAATGAACTCTACTCATGTATGACCCGAGCCGGGAATCAAAATCGGGCCACAGAGGTCAGAGGTGAGTGCTTTACACGCTGCGCCACCCATGTCAAGCTTGACTTTAAAATGAATTCACAGACAATAATGGCAAACTGGTCAAAACAGGGGTGTTACGAAGAGGTTCCACTCGGGACCACTTTTGTACCACTCAAAAAGGATATCTTTCCAGTGTCCAACAGTCATTCCACAGTTAAGTTCACCACTGTGCAGAGTTACAATCAAGACAGTCACAAGTCATCACAAGTCATCACAACTCTTCAAATGTCATAAAAAGTCATCCAGTCTCAGTTTAATCAGAAGCTGTTCACATAACTGTGCATTCCTTTGTGACTGTTATTTAACTGTTACTAGTAATTTGACTTGTGATTGGAGTTGATTTGACTTGTGGTTTGAGTTGGTGATTGACTTGTGATTGACTAGTGACTGACTTGTGATTCACCTCGTGATTTGACTTGTGATTGACTTTGTGATTTGACTTGTGATGCACTTTGTGATTGACTTGTGATTGACTTGTGATTGACTTGTGATTCACCTTGTGACTGACTTGTGACTGACCTGTGACTGACTTTGTGATTGACTTGTGACTGACTTGTGAATCACCTTGTGATTTGACTTGTGATTGACTTTGTGATTGACTTGTGTTTAACTTGTGATTGACTTATGATTGGGCTTGAATTGTCTTCTGACCTGACTCCTGACTGGTGACTGACTTGCGATTTCCCTCAATGATTGACTTGTGATTGACTTGTGACTGACTCCATTACAGCGCTGCCTCTTTGCAATGCTTGATAACCCACTTTCAAATTCTGAAAAATTTTTAGGCAGGAAAGTCCTATTCCTCCTTGATTAAAATAAGAAAACTGGAGTTAACACGAAAGCAGTCAATTTTTGTAAGAGATAAACTGTGGCCTATCAAACATGCTATTTCAATTCTTGGATCACTTTTACTGTGTTACCTCAAACCATTATCAACTAGACAAAAGCCATGGGTACTAAATTCTACCTTGCTGGGTGGTTTGTTGGGCACCGGGAACAACCTGTACAAATGGCTGCTGTTGCTGGTTGAGCAGGGCACCGACGAGGCCCCCTATCATGTCAGATAAACTGCCATCAGCTCCCAATGGCTGAAATTTGGATGTTAAAAAAAAATCACATTGGTGAAGAAAATTGATCCAATAAACTTAAAGGGAATATACAACATTTGCAAACATTGGAAAACAAAACTACAAATTTTTTTTTACGAAATAGCTTACTAGGATGTTGGTAAATGAAAGTCTAAAGCATCCTGTAAAATTATGGCACCTGGTGTGAAGTCATTTTCAAGAAAAGTGGTATTTTGTATAAATTTCCAACGGTGGTTGGAATTTTGTTTGCTATTGGTTACATGTTCATGAACGGGTGCAGGCCAGCTAGACTGGTTTCCTTACCTTACAATTTTCCGGCATCTATAAATTGATTTATTTCATCTTTAGTGGAGTCAGGGAACCAGACTACTTAAACATTTTTGTTTTTCTTGGTTTTTCCAGCATTTTCGAACACAAAACTTCAAACTTGTCAGTGTAACAATATTTGATCTATTATACTAACCCCTCAAATAGTTCATTTCTGAAAATTACAGCAAAAGCCAATGATGTACATGTACATTCCCTTTAACTAGATCATTTCATTCGGCGTTAGTTGACGCAAAAGATGTGCAACTGTACAAAAGAAACATTACTTGCTTATTCATGCTCTGCTGACAAACATCACTTCACTTTTCCTTCCTCCAAATGAATTATTAAACAAAACTATAATGTTGACATTAAAAGTAATACTTGGCACACAATTTAGTTTTCCCAAAAGTGTTTCATGTAGTAATGGGAATTATGAAAACTAAAATTTCCACACAAACCTGAACTTGGAGGTTGGAAAGAGATGCCTTGCCTTACTGTTTGTGATTGGCACCCTGTTAATGTCTGTTTGACTAAATTTGCTGAAAGACATTTTCTGCCTTTCAGTCCGTAAAACTGGGCTCAGGTTATTAACCCTTACCACCCCAACTCCATCAAAATCCATCCTCCATTGTGGTGGATTTTGGGGGGACTTGGTCCAGTAGGCCTGGCTTGACTAAATATCGATGGAGCATGATGGACTTGGGCCTGATGGCCTGAAGCAGTGCTAGGGGTATCCGATTGATTTGGCCTAGCTTCCTGTATTGCTATTGTGATAAAAGCCATGTGTAGCAAGTCCATGAATGTCAACCAGTGCGTCAGTGGTGGATTCCATTATGTCATGTACAGTTTTGTATTGGAAGCACAGTGATTGATGGATTTTGATGGATTTGGTCCAGTTCCCAGTGAAAGACACTAGGGAGTTAGGGTTAATTGCTGGAAAAAAAATGTAGAGACTGGAGTGTTATTTAGTTCTCACCTGTGGCACTCCATCGTTCTGAGCTGATTCAGCTCGCGTTTCGTCCCCTGGATTTCTACCGGCAGCCTCCTCAGATCCCGCCGTGCCTGTGGCGGCGTTCTGGCTGCCGGCCCCTGCCCTTCCCCTTCCAGTGGAGCCGACGTTCACGATGTTGGTGATGTGGCGCACGGTGATGTGGCGCGAGTTGCAGGGCAGGAGGGGGTCCCAGGCCTGGCGGGACTGCAAGGGGTTGAAGAAGGCCAGGGGAGAGGGAGGCGTCTGGGCGGACTGGCGGGACTGGGACTGGTTCTGGTTCTGGGGGGAGGGGGTGGACTGGGAGTTCTGCTGGGCTCTGGGAGAGGAGGTGGTAGGGGTGGAGGAGGTGTTTGTCGGACCTGAAACAAGAACATTACAATCGACGATTGACAATTATTCAAATAAAACAAATGGTTAGTGTATGAGGAAAATGGAAGGGGAGAATGCAAAATTAAACAAGTCTTAACATGAGGTTAATGAAGTGTTATAAGGTTTTACCGATTTTATGGAGCACCTTGGAGTTCAATCCTCAATTTACCACTTAATTCAATTAACCCTAACCCCTAGGCCTTTTTGCCAGGATGCTCCCTCAATCCTTTGAAATCCTCCGACTGCCTCCATGAAAAATTGGATACAGCCTCAATCCTTAACATTCCTCCATTATTTAATGAGTATGTTCACTGGAGGGGCGACCACTGCCTCAATCCTGCAAAATCCTCCAACAATATATTTTGAGGCAGTGCTGATGATGACATTATCCAGAAGCAATGCGGATGATTTTAAGTATTATCTCGACCAATGTGTGCCAGCTAAGCATACAAGGCATACAGCCTAAGCGTTGACACAATACATCCTCCCACATCAACGGACACATTTTTGCCATACAGCCTCAATTCTTCGAAATCCTCCACCTGTGCGAAGAGGATGTTGGAGGTCAGGGTTAATGTGTTGAACGTAGAACTTATGGAATCGGTGTACCAGGGACTTTGCAACTTTGACCCCCAAAGGGCAAAGGGTACTCCAACGTGGCCAATTTTACACATGTACATCCTGGACAGTGAGGTGCGGAGCGCAGGGGTTTGTTAAGCACCAGAAAGTTTCTGAGTTAAAGCAGGCATCCAACCAAAATGTAATGAGGCGATAATTGCTAGTGACTGGCTCCTAGCCGATAACTGCTTAGGGCCCGTCTCCATTCATATCTGGGACAAGTTCCGAAGAAGACATAAGCCTTTTTGCAAATAGCAAAATACACTGCTGCGCAAAGCATTATGGGCAGGATAAGGGAGCAAAGAACCACGTACGAACACCGTGTTCGAACGCGCACGCCGTTGCCAATGTGTTAAGCCATGCGGCGTACGCGTTGACAGCGCACGTACACGGTCAATGTCCCTGAGTCTTCCTGCGATGCTCTCAGATTTTGCTATGTGCGATAAGGCTTATTGTATCGGGTTTAAGTTGCAGGATTCTGAACAACTTCCCTGCAATCTTTCCGCAATGAAGTTATCAGTTTTGCTGAGTCAAGCAGTTGCTAATGAAAAATTTCCCCCGGAACATGTCCGGGACAAATGCAGACGAGCTTCTTCCGTACAAAGTGAATGATTCTATCCACAACTTGCCAGGAACGTGTCCCGGATTTGAATTGAGACGGATTCTTAGCGTAAAATTTGCAAAGTGATTATTTTTGGTGCCTAGTAGCTCCACAGATTTGGGCCGTGGTCTTACCGGCATGATTGGCAGGGAACTGGGCCATTTGCTGCATCTGTTGCTGGCCCACCATCTGCGCCATGACTTGGAGCAGTCCAGCCGGGGGTATGCTGCCTGGGTTCAGGCCTAGCTGGTGGATGTGGACATGAGGTCCTGGGAAAAAAGAAAGAAAGTAGAGGTCTCAAAATCTGGACCCTTTGCTTGGTTAGGTTGAAATAGAGGCAACTGCACTGGCAAATCTAAAAGCTGCACTAACAAATTCCAGCCACTAAAAAGTCTCATGAATCATGACTTCGGAGATAAGCAACTTCATGTCGTACCTTTTCCGATGAACTAATAAAGCATAAAATACAAAGGGAGACTTGGGGGCTGCAAGTTATTGCTGTTGTCTTTAGGGCTGTCCCGATTATACCGAATATTCAAATATTTGATCATGAACCGAATATTCGAATAGCTTTTTGCCGCTTTGAATATTCAAAAACAAAAGAACTACGCACATACACACATGACTGTGATGTTACTGTATCATAAAGTAGCGGCGTTTTATTGTCAGGCGCCACTTTTTTTGTCGACGGTAACTTTTTAGTCGACAGCGGTTCATTGTTTCTATCCTTTTAGCAGGTTAAATCCCTTGACAGTTACAAAATACTTACAGCAAAACACTTCATATCGATTGCCGCACGCAAGTTTTAACTGGCGCGCTCTGCCTGCAACTTTTTGACCGGCGCGGTGCGCAGTTGCAGCTGGCAGTTTCGAATATCTGAATACTTGGTAAAACACAGTTTCGAGTAATACTAAATTATTCGAAAATTGACAGCTCTAGTTGTCTTCTTCCTAATATACACAAAAAAAGTAGATCCTGAAACTCTGTCAAAAGGTCTCAATTTTTTGGAAAATACACATGACGAGGTGATGATTTGATACAGGCTATCCATACTAAATAATGAAAGGTTTGCGGAAACACCATGTGCGAATAATTTCTCAACTAAGAGAATGGTTCTGAAAAGAACCAGAGGTATAAACTCTCTGGTTCTTTAGTATCTCCACCATGCAAAGCCTCAAATCTTACTTATCCATACCTTGTGATCTTGTTGTGGGACCTGGTTGGTTGTTACGGTTCCCTGTTCCCCCGCTCTCCGCCTGCGCACCACTGGTCGCCGGCGGTGCACCTGCTGCCGGCGGGGTCGGACCAGATGACGAGGAGACAGGCATGGCCACGTACCCCGGCGCACCAGCCCGGGGCGTGATGACAAACGTCTGCTGATTGGTCAGGGTGACCGAGGCGTTGGTGAGTACGGGCACCTGCTGCTGCTCGCGGGAGTGGGTCTGGGTGGTGCTGGTGGCACTGGTGCGGGTCGAAGCTGCACGGCTGCCAGCGGTTGTTGTAGCTGGCTGGTCCGAGGCCGAGGTGGTTGCTTGGGAGGCCTGGGAGGCTGGTTGGTCTTGGGCTTGGGTGGAAGCTTGCGCTGGTTGAGCTGGTTGACCTATGTTCACCTGTTAACGTTTCAATGCACACTGTGAAATTGGCAATAGCTTCTCTGTAGAAGCTGTGACCACATCCAACTAAGTTAGTATGTGCATAATTCGCTCTTCATTTTGACGTATGATTCAATTGCACATCTTTGTAATATACAGATATTTTGTTGGGGAAAAGTTTACTGTTCCTTTTGATTTATAGCACTTGCCACCATGCATTTACAGTATCTGCAATGTTGCAGGAACCATTAGCACACGTACATCCCACACACTGGAGATCTCAAACACACAGTGCCATTTGTTATATCATTGGTCGAGAATGGCCACGTGTCCAGTCCGTAAAAACACATATATACAATGGTTAAGGCGCACGTGTATCAGGCGTGCAACTGGGAAGTCACAAAAAAAAGCGGAAATTCAAACTTTCCAAGACTTTGTACAGTGTTTTTCTATTTTCAATGGCACACATGGGAAGTAAAAAAAGAGGAAATCAGCTGATCCGAGGAAAAGTTGCATGCCTGGTGTATACATATAACCTGCACACGCGCTGGCGACTGAGAGATGAGAACTGCATGCATGCAATGCGAAACCGCTCAGTCTCATGTCGGGCAGGAAAGCCTGCAGTTATCAAGGGTTGCACCACACTGAGTAAGTTTCAACCATTTATCGATTTGACTTATTGGCACGATATAACATAACAATTAATGACTGCTGTAATGTGGGATATGCTGTTTTAAGCCCATCGGGACGCATAGCACTGGCGGCTTCACCTCGGGTGCTATACGCCCCTCGGGTGTTAAAAATGTCATGTCCCGCATCACAGCAGTCAACAAATATTAACTACTGTTCCAGCACAGAGTCCATAATGTTGGGACTTAGGGATAACATCAAACAATTGTAGCCACAGACTTTGAAACTTACATGGGTGAAATGATATGGCACAATATGATACCTGTTGCTATACACGCCTCACAAAAGGATACTTCTCAAGACACTTGTCAAAGATGTAAGTCATTTTTTCAGAGCTTGTCTTGTTGCTTGACAAATGAACATTTCTCTGTACTTTGAGTTACATGGATCTATGCCAACATGGCGTGGAGGCTAGTAGGAAAGAAACAGTAACATAGCTTTTCTTCATTTTAATAAGGGAATAAATTGTGCTTGGCCGGTTTTAAACAAGTACATTTAAAACCGGCTAGGGGCCTGGATGCAGATAATGGGCCGAGCTGAAGGCCAGGGTCATTACCCGCAACCAAATCTCTAGCCGGTTTTAAAGCTATAGTCCATCATTTGCAGCCATCCGAAAAAGTAACTAGCGTATTATTGTTGAAAAACATACTTGGTTGAAAGATAGTAAGTGGACTAAACTCCCTGTGAAATTAATCTTTCTGGCAAGCTATCATTTTGAAGTAATCAACGAAAGAAGGCCTTTCCAGCGGTGCGTCTTAAGACGCACCGTAGGAATATTTAAATTAGTAGTTCGTTTTGTTATTCGGCGCAGCGCGCGCAAGCATTGGCACGACGCACAGGCACGCGCGGTTGCTATAATTCGTCGGATCAGTGCGCGACATCGCGTATAGCTGCAATTCAAAACAATTCAAAACATGATTCAGCAACTTTTGATTTGAAATTGAGATCCTACAATGCTGTTTTTCTCGGAATATACAGCTGAAGCTGAGCTGAAACTTCATCAGGTTAGTTGTTCAGTATCCTTCATTAGATTTTGAACACTTTTGTTGCTTCAAACGAACAAAATGCACAAATTACAAATGATGGACTATATCTTTAAACGTACTTGTTTTATACCGGCCAAGCACATATTTATACCCATTCATAAATACCTTCTCAGTCAAACGGTCAAAACAAGTCAAAAATTCACAAATTTCCAACGATTTTGTTCAACAATTTTACTTCATGTTTTTTTAAACACCTCTTGTCTATGGTGTAAGCATCGCGGACATAGTGCTAAATATCGCCTTATATGGAGATTTTGCGCATCTGTGGCGCGTACTGTGTGATGTGGCGCAGAATGCAGCGGTGTTTTATGAGCGGTTTAAAACCACCCACATGACAGGCTCTCAACCAATTGGAATGGATAAACTGTCTGAGGTATTTATGAATAATGATTTTCAGTATACCAAAAACAATAACCAGTATTGTCAATCAGTCGATGTATCAATGAATCGTTTCAGTCCTAGAAACTGCCACTTACATGTACAGGCATTTGGCCAGGGGGACGTATAGGGGCCACCATCATGCCCGCCGGAGCTCGGAGTACGCGAGGAGGGGAAGTATTGAGGTCCATCATGCAATCAGAGATGGCGTGGTAGATGTGACTGATGTAATGGAGAGCCTGGTTGACTTGGGTCTGCAAACGATGGGCTGGCAGCCGATCAGACTGGGAGTTACAAGGACAAGGAGACAACCAAATTGAGGTATAAGGTGAAATGGAATGTATTACACAAAATTGGCTTTTGCTGCAATTTTCAGAAATTGATGGATTTGCTGGTTTAGTATGACTGACTTGTTTGAAGTTTTGTGTACGTAGATGCTGGAAAAACCAAGAAAAACTAGAGTTTGAAGGGACAAACACACGGTGTTGGGCTAGAGGTTTGGCTTTTTCGCATTGTTGATTGTTGTTGTTGATTGTTGATGTTGATTGTTGATTGAATTTGACGGTGGTTTTTCATGTTGATGTCGATTGTTGATTGTTGATTGTTGTTGTTGATTAAGGATTATTGATGTTGATTGTTGATGTTGCAATTTTCAGAAATTGATGGATTTGCGGGGTTAGTATTACTGACTTGTTTGAAGTTCTGTGTACGTAGATGCTGGAAAAACCAAGAAAAATAATTGTGCTCATGTATTCTGGTTCCCTGTCCCAACTTAAGATGTAACAGGGATATTTATAGACTTAGGGGAATTGTAAGGTCAAGGGAACCAGTCTAGCTGGCTTGTACCCGTTCATAGGTGTGTAATGGATTGCCAACAAAATGCGGACTAACTAATCATGGTAAATGGGGGCACTGTTTGAAAAAAAGTTTTTTCCAATGCTGGTCGGCCGACCAGCGTTGGAAATTGATACAAAGGCACCACTTTTCTTGAAAATGACAGCACACCAGGTGCCATGATTGTACAGGATGCTTTACACCTTCATTCACTAACAGTCCAGTAAGGTATTTCATAATAATTTGGTAGTATTGATTTTTGATGTTTGCAAATGTTGTATCCCTTGAACCCATTAGCACCGGTATAACATTGTATAACACTGTATTACATTGTATACATGTATTTCCTAACAAATCAATAATACCATGCAGTCCATGGGCATGCCACTTTACCCCCACTAGCCTCTCTCCACCCAGGAGTATAAATGGGTGCCAGCATTAGCTGGGGAGTCACCTGCGATGGACTGGCATCCCATCCAGGAGAATAGAAATATTCTGAGTTGCTTCCTACCAAGGAAACCGGAGAAAAACGCCAGCCTCATGACCCATATTGGCTCGGGACAGATTTTACTTTACAAGTGCACATTTTGTTTATCAGCTACATTTTCAAGGGAAATGTTGCATGGTATATGAGGTTACCTTTTCTTTGATATCACCTTAGGCACAAACTCTCTTTTCTTTTCATAAGAGGGGTGGGTTCGGGAAAGAATACAGTTGTACCAATAAACAATTAACTAACTCAATCAACCCATACTAAAATGGGAATCAGCCTATATTGCTTTGGACGATTTTCGGCTGCACTCATGGGCTCCGTGCACAAGTACCCCCTCATTGGTAAGAAAGGGAGAGTTTGGGGAGACCACTGGGAGAGACTGTCTGGGAGAACGCATTGCCGACGACACCTGATGCTCACGCGAAAGCGCTATGGCTTTGGGCACATTCAGGATAAAATAAGTTGTGCGTACTTCGCGCTATACCCACACGAACCAGTATGCACAGCGTTGTGTCCCGTCCGCGGGGCTTTCAAAAGCGGTCAAAAACGTCCTCCCTTGTTCGCGCAAGTAGCCCATACAAATTCTACTAAATTAACCCTGCTATGCCCAGTGCAGTTGGCAAAGGGAATTATCAGACCTTTCAAAAAATTTTAAAATTTGCCTGACTAAAAGGGTTTTGAAAGGTGAAATAGTGCTGGAACTTTGGGACTTTTCGAAAGGTTTCCAAAGGTGAAGCAACTCTGTGGGCAAATTCAGTACGTTGCCTTTCCATACCTTTCGAAAGGAATTGAAAGGTGTGGTAGTGCAGTAACAATATATTCTGGAGGATTTTAAAAGGTCCAGCATTTGTTTTCCTTCAATTTGCCAGCACCCAGATTTTGAGGTGTTTTGAATGGTTGAACTACAGGAGAGTTAATGGATTGGGAAACATTTATAATTTTTTTGCTTACGTCTCCTTCAAAGACTTGATCCCCGCTAAGCAGTTCACGGTACTGGTCCAGGAACGGTTGGAGACGGTTGGAGACACGAGCCATCTCGGTCAAAATGTCCGCCATCACGGTGCCCCTGGGATGTCTGAATGGAGGATAACATCACAGTGTGTACTGTTTAGCTAGAGCTGGTGACTATTTGGTTTCTACACAATGAATACTACGGAGTTAAAATGTAGCACGTAACATGCCGCACTGTGATGTGAAATGAATCTGTCTACTACATTCCAAATTGCAGCAAATATACATACTTGACTGGATATTGCAAACACTAGCAAAACGTAATAATGAAAGGTTTGCGGAAACACCATTTGCGAATAATTTCTCCACTAAGAGAATGGTTCTGAAAAAAACCAGAGGTAATAAACTCGACATTCCGGTCAGTATGCTTTGACTGTCTTCAGGAGAAGACATGGTTCGGACATGGTGTTTCCGCAAACCTTTCATTATTTAGTATCTCCACCATGCTAAGCCTCAAATCTTACTAGCAAAACATGGATGCCATAGTTTATGAGTGCATGAGTAACAGATGAAATTTTGCGTCTGGGCATGCTGGGTGATGTAACTCAATTCGTTGACTTGTGTTTGACTTGTGATGGCGTTGACTCAGTAAAACTCTGTCATTTAAATATCTATAGGCCTACAATATTTGGCAATTTCAGGCAATGCAAGGTACATGTACAAGGTACATATTTTTAGCTGAAGTTTGATTAATGATGAAATCACAAAAATGATGAAATATGAACAAATGTATTTTCTACCCTCAAATTATTACAATGGAAATTAGGAAAATCTCCAGAAGGGCAAATCCCAAAACAATCCAATTCTTTTTGTACGTCAGACCGCATGATGTACAAGGTCATTCTTTAGTTTGGTCTGCAATTGTTTTCTACTCATTAGATGTCACATTATTAGTGATGTGTCAAATGCACTTTTCCAACAGCAGCTCATTGAAGTGTCGGACATATACGTCAGAATTAACAGAATTGCCCAAAAAGGATTTTGGATGTTTCTTTTTAAAGATGATCAAGACATGCAAATTTAATTAATTGCATCAAACATTTTATTGCTAATAAATCACACTTTAACCCTAACCCTCCTGGGTATTTTGGTTAGAAACCCTGCCAAATGCAGCAAAAAGCAACACTTGTCTTCAATCAGCGAGGCAGTATTTAGTCTAATTTTTGTAGACATTTATTACCATTTAGATTGTGCTCTTGATACACCTTTCCTATACTATAATTACTTTTTGTATATTGAAATGCTATGTGACCATATGATGATTATTGACGACAGTTTTGGGTGCTCCGATTACAGAAGGCTAGTCCTTCTCTGGATGACACCCCCATTCATACTCCAATTCTGCTTATTATTTAACTACATGTATTTATATTATATTATGTGAACTGTTGCTTATGTATGTACATGTATGAATGGAAATAAATCAAACAAACAAACAAACTTGTCTAAGTGACAAGCCTGCCCAGTGTAGCAAGATTCATCAGGCAAAAAGTCTCAAGGCCAAACTGCCTCAGAGTTTGTGGTCACTACACACAGCAGGATACAACTGTGGCATTGCTCAATGGGACTAGCTCTCATTGTCTCAGAACTGGCCGTTTATGCACTGGTGTTGATAGCTGAATGCATCAAAGTGCTCCAGACTTTTCCACCTGATACACTGTGTGGGGTCTGGCAGAACTAGGGTTAATTTGGTGAACAATTTTATTGATTATTCATTAGATAAATAGTTTATGAATAGTTTAATTGCGCTACCCGCTGCTACTTGTACAACAGATTCGAACCAGCCAACCGATCCCCCAAGCTCGGAGGTCGAGTGGTAAGACGTCTGCACTAGAAAGCAGGAGGTCGTGGGTTCGAGTCCCACCTGAGTGATTTTTTTCCAACTTTCACTCGGGAGGTAACACACTCAGTATACAGTGTTTATACATCGGTGACTGGCAAAACCTAAAATGAATTTTATTGATAATAAATTACATTTTAATAATACAGGAAATTCTTCACCAAAAGTTTGTGCTTACGTCACAGTACTACTTCTCCTTCCCTGATTATCTCTGGCCTGACCATCAGTGGCCGCTTCAGAAGCAGGGGCGGCATCCCCCGTGGTGGTAGAAGACTGCTGATTGGTCTGAGTGTTGGAGCTGGTGGTGGTTGGAGGGCTGCTATTGGCTGATGCAGAGCTGTTGGCAGGGGTGCTCCTACTAGGGGTTGAGGCAGCCCTGTCAGTCTGAGCCGTATGAATCTGTGTTGGGTTCTGAGTGTAAAATAAGAAAAGGTTTCAAGAACGAATACTGGACACAAAACATTGCCGAAAATAAATAATGAAATTTCAAGATTCTGTAGTCTTCATTCAAGACTCAATTTGAATTGTGTTCCTCCAATAAGGCTAGTCCCGAACCCTGGCAAGTGCGATCACATTGCTGCTGCAGAAGAGGACACTATCAAAATGATGAGCCACATCTGGGCTTGGAGTCTAGGGGCTAGACGTCGTTATGGTTTGATATGCGATAACCCGCCACAGGGATAATCCGCCGCCACGAGAGGGCGCTATCACGACTAACCAATATCAACCACAAATATTTTGGGATTAGGTTTATCTGTCGCAATATGATGAGAAACACTCCAGGGAATCATAGTAGAACATTTGGGTTGAAAGAGTTTTCACAGTGTGAGTAACAGAATTTTTTCACAGGTTTTTCCTCGAAAACAAAGGAATATCTACACTAGGTTTTAAGCACTCTGTTTAAGACCAGGGCCCAATTTCATAGCACTGCTTATAGTAAGCAGAAAAGTTGTGCTTACTATAGCAGAAAATCCTGCTGCTGCTTACATGTAAGCACTATTTCATGCTGACTGTTGCACGCGCATGGAGATTTCTATTGTTACGTCACTGATTTAAGTAAAGTTTTCTTCTGGGGTTAAGCGTGCTTTTGCTGTGCTTACTGCTTAACGGTCCCTATGAAATAGATGGAGGCTCGGTAAGCACAAAGTTGGCTGTTAAGCAGCGCTATGAAATTGGGCTCAGTTGGAGTCTGGATGCTGATAATTACCCGATAATTATCACCTAAAATTTGGTCTTCATTCGCAAGTTTTCATACAAGAAACCAATGAAGATGGACTTGAAAAGGAAATGATTCAGAATAGACGGCAGCCTCGTTACTCACCTCCAACCTGTCCAGTAGGGCGTTGACCTGTCGGAGCAGGTTCTGGATCTGGTTGACACGTTGCTGGGAGGCACTGACAGGCGGGGCTACGTTGATGGGGCCCAGGTTGATATGGACGTCCATGTGGGAACCGTTGGGCTGGATATGGGAGAAGATAAGAAATTGGTCATGTTACCAGTACATGAAGACTATAGTGGGGCTATATCGGTTGCGCCCAAGTTAGAATGACGACCGCATGAGGTGATTTCTCCTTTTAAAAGCCAGCTCTGTTCTTTACAAGGGTTTCATTGTGTATCTTTTACCCAGCCCACTGTAATGTTTGATTTGTTTAAATACCACGTGGAGATGCATTCATCTATAGAAATTGCCCTGTGGAGACATATACAATCTTTTGTTCCCTATTGTGTGCACGTCTCCAGAGGGCACGGTGTATCAGATCACATACACATGTATGCACACTGCATGTGTGAATATAGACTCCCATAATTCAGGATTTATGTTGCTCGTGCACCATTTTCAACGATTCAAAAAAAAATAGATGGTTTCATTACTTGGTAAAAACAAATGTTACATTAGCTGTTAATTTTTTGAAAATCTGCATGTGTTTAAAAAGATATCGGCATGCCCATTAAGTCGTTCAGTCAAGCGATACTAATTCTTCCCTGCTGGTGTTGGGCATTCATTCGGTAATAAACTCCCTAAGGGGATTACAGCTTGAGATAAGAGAGGGCAATAAGCCTGGTACAAGAACCTGAATAAAACAGACCAACTCGTGTTTTCTGTTAAAAAAGGATTCACAGCATGGTATGGGAAGCATTTGGTTTGATGAAGGAAGAGATAGGAAACTGGTCACAGGTAATAGTGACTGATTGGTTGTTCTACTTTGATAGGGCTCATACAAACGTCCATGGGAAGCTATGGTGGGGGGGGGGGGAGGGGGCGGTCGGGACCCCTTATGCTCCCCCATGGATACCTTTCAAGGTAACGGATATGCCGTTTTCTTACCTGGACATGTACGTTTCCTGCATCCCCAACATCTGCTTGCACAGTGATTGCACCCATTAAGAAACTGTCTCTGCCTTCACTTCCACTGCCTCCTGGAAAAGGAAAAAAACCATACATTAAACTTTGGAAATTATGCAATTATCAACCTTTCTACTTCTTCTTCTTTACAAGCAGACTTCATGGCTGAAGATAAACGCACTGCCAGAAACACCGGGGCGAACCCCTTCTTCTAGCGATAAGTGGTTCTGGGTTCTTTTACGTGCATTATACAACACACGGGACCTACGGCTTTACGTCCCATCCGAAGGTCGGAGCAATAATGGTTAAGTGTCATGCTTAAGGACACAAGTGTCAAGACCGGGCCTCGAACCCACACTCTGCTGATTAGAAACACCAGAGCTTGAGTCCGGTGCTCTTAACCGCTCAGCCATGACACTCCACCCTTGCTCTATGAGTGTAGTCTTTTTGGCTGGCCAGGTGGATATGCCCAATCTTATCTCAGCAAAGGCTTAGGCCTACTAATGGAGTGTTTTCATTCAATATTTTTTCCCCCGCAGTTTAATCAGGTTGACAAATCATCAACTATCAGTCATGTTTCTCATTGATTCTCGCTTTGTGATCCTTGTAGTGTGCGGCTGCTTACGCCTTGAGAAATGTCTCCTCAAGTGAATAATACAGTGTTGGAGGGTGTAGTAGAACAAAGCTTAACCCCCCCCCCTTGAATCCTTCAAAAACCTCTTTGCCAAAGTGGAGGAATTTGAAGGATTGAGGTTACGTGGAAGATTTTTTTCCGTCAATGTGTCGTTTGCTAGTGAATAACTTTCGTATATCTAGGGGGAAAAAAAACAGAAAAGGAAAATTAAAATAGAAAATGTAGTTTTGGGGGGAATCTCCAGTAAAGCATGGAAAGTAAACCATTTAATTGAAAAAATGTTAGAATGTTCACAATTCCTGGATGTCCGTGGCTGGATGTCATATGTACATCATACCTGCACTGGTTGTTGAGGATGACGTGCTCGAGCCAGAGGTGTTGGTGGAGGGTGGCGGTTTCTCCACAAGATGAATGGTGCGCCCGTGGACGTCATACTCGGACAGCTTCTTAGCGTCTTGGAGAACGCGTCCGCAGAAGATGAGGCGCTGGGTTGTCGCTGGTATGTTCTGTAGTGTTATAGTGAAGAGAAAAGGTTTACCAAGTACATGTACATGCTGAGTAAAAAATAACGAAACCACGGCAGGACCAATTTTTGAATGAAGTTTTGCCTGAAGCACTTTCAAAATCTACGATATGAAAGCACAGTCATTAAGCTTTCTTTTAAAGGAAAGATACAATATTTGCAAACATCAAAAAACAAAATGATCAAATTAACACCAAATTCTTGTTATGCTGGACTGTTAAGGAATGACAGTCTAAAGCATTCTGTACAATCATGGCTCCTGGTGTGCTGACATCTTTAAGTAAAAGTGGTATTTTTGTATCAATTTCCAACGCTGACCCAGACCAGCGTTGGAGAAAACTGGCTTTTTAAAAAAACTGCTCCAAATGTTTCATATATGTTAAAAAAAACCAGACCCTTAACAGTTCTGTCCATAGTACAGATCACAAACAAAAAAACGTAAGTGTTCTTTCAGCAAATTAACGAAAACAATTCTCATAGGGATGCATGTGAATTGTTTTCGTTTTGCTGAAAGAACATCTACTTTTTTTGTGATCCGTGGACAGAACTTTAAAAACAGTGTTTGTGTTCGTGTTCCTTCCTCCATGGTTGTTTTAACTGATTACAATTCATGTTAATATTGTCATATACTTACCACAGATCCTGCAATTCTCTCCTTGAACTCTTTCACTGTGATCTGTAAAGTCATCAAATGAAAACTATTAATGGAACTGGAAACGCTGATTCATGTGACTTATTAACCAGTTCCCATCGGAGGGCATGATAACGATGTAAATGACCTTCACTGAGATGACATATGAAGACAAAACTGGCGTCAGGTTGCAACATTCTTTCCAGAACCATTTTTTGTGGAGTCCGTATTTTAGGTCTGCTAGGCGTATGTACATGTATAGTTGGACTCCCTATTATCGCGGCATCCCTATTATCGCGGCATAGGAAATTTCTCTTTTTGCGTTGCCAAAACTCCTTTCAAGTGGCGATTTTTATCCAGTTCACCAGGCATTCTGCCGAGTTGTATAAAAAAGGACGATTAAAAAATGTTGTGTCTTTCGGGACTTTTAACGATTTTTAATAAATATCGACATTTTTCGAAACTTGCAAATTTTCCCTCACCGTGTCTGCTAAAAGGTACCATTTTTATTTTAACATAAATCTTTAATGGTGCTCTGTCCATGAAAGTTCCATTGTCTGGTTCCCATACTTCAGCTGCAAATGTAAAATGAAGTCGAAGGACGATATTTCCACCGCGAAATCGTAAAAACTTTTACGGGATCAAAATAAGCACTGCGCGTTAACAAAAATAAAACGGCACACCGTGTAAAGTGAATGACGCCCCCAATGGCCGATCAGTAGGCTTGCCTCAGTGATTTGTGTTCTCCTTTCGCGGAAGGGCAAGGTCTTAAGAAATCATCCTGCAGGCATATAGTCTTTATTCAACTTGAACTTACAGGGAAAATATCAGACTATAGTCAGGGGACGTTTTGGTCAAACATTAACAGTGAATAAAAACGCTGAGATCATTATATAATATAAACAAACACACTTCTTCTTTTTTGACCAAAAATATAAAAAAATAGTTCTGCTTCCGGTTTCCCTACCTACCCTTTTCTACAGGCATGCAACTTGGAAGTCATAAAAAAAGAGGAAACTAAAATCTTTTCAAGACTTTGGGAAAAATTCTGCCAACCGGATACCACTTACCTGCCGCCAAACATCCAAATTTTCACCTAACCTTGTGATTTCAACCAAGAGGAATCCAGGAAAGAGTGGACATGCGAAAAAAAATTGGTAAAAATGTGTTTTTGGAGCACATTTTGCATGCACATGTAGTGCAGATCCGAGTTGAAGCAGCCGGTCAAAACTGATTGTAAGTGTCTGGAACTGCGGTACGTTATACGCATGACATCGATAACCATGACGTCGCATGAGACGTCGCATGAGCCGGCCAATGATAGTGCAATACGTCATTATGAATATTTATTTTCTCATGAATATTTAGTTTATTTCAATGGATACTTCAAATACGTCCAAAGATTGATCATTGCAACAGCGATCGTGCGCGGCCTAGCGGTTAAGAGACTCGTGTATCAAGCAAGCATCCGAGGTTCGAATCTCGATGAAGTGAGTGACTGATTGATAAATAGAAATTAAGGAAAGGAGGGGGTGAGAGTAGAGGAGGGAAAGTGGAGGGAATAACCATAAAAGAGGTAACTTTTGGCGCTAGAAAATTAATTGAAAAAAGTGGTGTCCGGTTGGCAGAATTTTTCCAGACTTAGGCCTACCTGTTCAGGAACTGAGAACTGCCTCGTCTGTGAATCCAACGTTTTCACCGTTACATCCATCATGATGGAACTCGGTTGAAGTGCACAGCACTCTCCAAAATGCGACTAGATCAGTCTAGCTGCTGCCCCCACTGCTGTGGCTGCTGACCCACTTTAAAAACGTATTGCAAAATAACACACGGAAACGACGGATTGTCTGGTTGCGGCCTGCGGGTGTCGTGCAAGTTAACCTCTGTGCAGTGACTGAAAGTGAAACAACACAAAAAGAAAATCCCAATTCACAACAAAAATACTACTTTTTAAGGATTTAGTACCAATTCTCACATAGTATTGCGAATCGATCATTTGATTGCATAGAATCTACTGGAAACCTACCGATAAGTGAAGCAAACCTGACGCAATTTCTATTCTGAACCGTGAATGAAGGTTTTACCGCACATCAAAAACGCTTATTACCCGACTGATGCTCTTATTACTAATTGGGTACGGTAGTTGGTTGGTGAGCAATCCACATGTAGGGTGACCCAATTTCGAATCCATACCATTTGCGAATCGTCGAATTTGTTTTTCAATTTCCCCGACTGAGGGCGATATACCATTTTTTTTAGTTAGAAAACTGTTTCAAAGGCCTCGGTTATGGCGTGTCAAACGTTGCAATATTCAATATTTTGCAATATATATGTTGGCTGTTCAATATGTGTTTGTTATCTTTTACATTTATGTGCGATGTTCAATATAAGTGTGCGATGTTTTTTTCATTATTTGCGCAATGTTTAATATATTTGTGCGATGTTTTACAATTATATGTGCGATGTTCAATATATGTGTGCGATGTTTTACAGTGAGTCTGAGGTCTATCGAGGGGACGATCCTTATTTCAACTCCCGGAGATTCGCTGACAGTCTCTATTTTTCTTTTTAAGAAAGTCGAAATAGCTGAAGAGGGAGGTGAGAATCTATAATGTGCCCAGATACAAAGAGTAGAAATCTACGCGTCTGCCTTTTGAAAATACACAATTGCGGTGTTCATTGTTGCGTAATGATCCGCCTAGCACACGACTGTTTTGCACATTAGGCTGTGTTATGCAGCTTCCTAACAAACCAAACACACTGGGCTCATTATATCGACTTGTTTTTACCCATTAAGGTAAAGCAAATGGACTAGTAATCTTCCTGGCGCGTTTGCTCACCTATAAAGACAACTTTTCTCAGTTTAAGGAAAATTCTAAGGTAACGAAATGGCCGAGTGGTTACGATTCGTCGTCCACGGTTAGCGGGGTCCCGGGTTCGAATCCCGCTGGGCCTTTTTGGTTTTTAACGAATGAGTTCAATTATTCACTATAAGAGATTTAATTTCCCGTCGTAAAGTACCAACAGTACCTTAGCTTAACCGGTAAGCACTGCTGCTGGTACTGTCCGCGAGTTCCAGGTTGGCGCCTTCGTACAGGTTCAGGGCATGTGGTCCACTCGGAGGATCAGGGCTTAGGGGCCGCCCTGTTCCTCCCTTAGCTCTTTGCTTTTACATGGTGCCTGGCCCTCCGGGGTTATATGGATGGATAGGGAAGGAAGTGTGTATTGGTCGGGGACGCCGAGACCCCGGAAGAGAACTAAGGGATCGGCTGGGGCATTGTTATGGCTCAGACCGATCCCTGAAAGCTTGACTAGCACATAACTTTTTGATTTTTTTACCCTCTATCTTTTATACTTTGGTTTAGTTTGGTTTAGTTAGTATCAAAATTGAAACAAAGGTGTATGTCATAAATCAATTAATATTTCAAAATTGACTATAATCAAAACGGAGTTTCGTTTGATCAATTTGACTATCATTATATAATGACGCGATTGCCAATTGACGTAAGAAACGCCAAAAATTATATTGTAATATATATTACATTGTAATATAAATATTATTTATACGTCTTTCAAATAACGTGTCTTTTATTCTGAGCATTCCAAACAATACAGTAATTCGCAATAGTAATAGAATGGTATATGATAGCACGACCAATGCGTCTCTATTAAATTTAAAAAAAATATAATTTAGGCCCCTATGTGTGAAATATTCTTTGATTGACTATGAGCATTCCATACGAATGAGTTAATTCGCAAAATATAGCAACAAAAAAAAAAAAAAGGAAAAAGAGAAAATTCCTTTACCCTAAAAACTGGAAAAAATAATTTGTTTTAAAAAAGTCAAATGGGACACTTCATGTATTGATTTAACAGTTTGCAAGGGGTTAACCTTATATTTAAGCAAAATTGGGAAAAATCAGATGTTTCTGGAAAATTGCAGCTTGTAAGGGGTTAACCTTGCATTTTTAGTAAAATTTAGATGTTTATGAAACATTTCAAATTGTAAGGGGTGAACCTTGCATTTTTAAGCGAAATTGGGCAAAATCAGATCTTTCTGGAAAATTAAAGATTGTAAGGGGTTAACCTTGCTTTTGTAGTAAAATTTGGACAAATAAGATGTGTATGAAAAATTTCAAATTGTAAGGTGTTAACCTTGCTTTTTTAGTAAAATTGGGAAACTTTAAATGTTTATGAAAAATCTCAAATTGTAAGGGGTGAACCTTGCATTTTTAAGCAAAATAGGGCAAAATCAGGTGTTTATGAAAAATGTCAGATTGTAAGGGGTTCACCTTGCATTTTTAGCAAAATTGGGAAAAATCAGATTTGTATGAAAAATCAAAAATTGTAAGAGGTTAACCTTTGCCCAATTAGGGCAAAATCAGATGTTTCTTGAAAATTGCAGATTAAAAGAGGTTAACCTGGCATTTTTAGCAAAACTGGGCAATATCAGATGTTTATGAAAAATCTCAAATTGTAAGGGGTGAACCTTGCATTTTTAGCAAAATTGGGCAAAATCAGATGTTTCTGAAAAATTTCAGATGTAAGGGGGTTAACCTTGCTTTTTTAGTAAAATTTGGCAAATTTTAATGTGCATGAAAAATTTCAAATTGTTAGGGGTTAACCTTGCATTTTTTAGCAAAATACGGCAAAACCAGGTGTTCATGAAAATGTCAGATTGTAAGGGGTTCACCTAGCAAAATTTAGCAAAATTGGAAAAATCAGATTTGTATGAAAAATCAAAAATTGTAAGGGGTTAACCTTTGCCAAATTAGGGCAAAATGAGATGTTTCTGGAAAATTGCAGATTGAAAGGGGTTAATAACCTTGCATTTTAAGCAAAATTGGGCAAAATGAGATTTTTATGAAAAATCTCAAATTGTAAGGGGTGAACCTTGCATATATTAGCAAATTGGGCAAAATCAGATGTTTCTGAAAAAAAAATTCTGATGTAAGTAATTAACCTTACTTCTTTTCTTCAGTGAAATTTGTTAAAAATTAGATGTTTATGAAAATTTTTAAATTGTAAGGGGTTAAGATTGCATATTTTTTTTAAGCAAAATAGGGCAAAATCAGATGTTTATGGAAAATTTCAAATTGTAAGGGGTTAACCTTACATTTTAGCAAAATTGGGCAAAATCAGATGTTTCTGGAAAATTTCAGATGTAAGGGATTATCCTTGCTTTTTTAGTGAAAATTGGCAAAGTTAGATGTTTATGAAAAATCTCAAATTGTAAGGGGTGAACCTTGTATTTTTAGCGAAATTTGGCAAAATCAGATCTTTCTGGAAAATTTCAGATTGTGAAGAGAATCACACCGGAAAAAAGCACTGTGGTCACTCGGCAATCATTTATTCGCTTGAAACAGTCCAACAAGCATGGTTTAACAATCACATGTTCAATTTACCTGCTACCAGTTCTAATAATTAACAGGTCCATGTAACTACCAGCATGGCTAAATAAATTCCCATAGTTACCACTGACATGCTAACGGTTATAACATTCCAATACTACGGATATCCTTACACCTAGAAGCGCAATTGCTTCACCCAAGTCCCAAGGGACTATACGGCTATCCCTACACTAATTTAAGCGCAATCACTTCTCACAAGTCCCAATGGACTACGGATATCCGTCCAGTTAGAAGCGCAATCGCTTCTCCAAAAGTCCCAAATGGACTACGGATATCCGTACCTGCAGTTAGAAACGCAATCGCTTCTCACAAGTCCCAGGGGACTATAGATGTCCCTACATTTAGAAGCGCAATCGCTTGTCGCAAAAATAAGCGCAATCGCTTCTCACACTTAGTTAATTTATTTCTTTTTAAATGTGCCCCTCTTGAGCTCTCTAACCACACACATAATGTCCTGCTTTCCCTGGCAAAACCATGTTGATGTTGTTGAGGCGTCATCAATGGGCAGACATTGTGCAATTTACGCGTTTTATTTCTGCATACAACCCTATCAGACTATATGCCCCCAACCGTTTGCTCAATGGTACCTAGTGAGAAACGGTTGCTCTCTGTGGCTTGCAGCCCCAAGCTACAACACCCAAGCCCGCCTGCAGCAACTATCCGACAACCAAATCCAATTTGTTGCTGGCAGTTTTTGCTTAGGTACTATCTTGTAAAGTGTTAATGTTATGGAACCTGGCATTTAGTTGTGTCCATCTAACTCCCCCTCATTCTCAAACTTGCCATGCTCTACAATTTTTCACTTCTCATCGTCGTTGATAAAGTGTAACTTTTGGTGACGTTATGTCATGTATGTCTCATACATTGGTATGCGGCATTCAAGTTGTGTTGAAACCTACGCCTTTCTCTAGGGATTACCCGTAGTTTGTCTGCCCTACACTTACAACTTACGAGCGCTCACATGGCCTAATAAAATCCCCACAATCCCCTTCATCTTAACGTCTGCTCTACGTTATTCTGATTGTGGTAAGATTTGCAATCCTTGATTCTAACCTGGAATTTCGACAAGACACTAACGGGGAAACCAGCAAGTACTAAGCAAAGCTGCATGCAAAACGCTCCCCAGCTCCACTAAAAGGAGGGAAGGTCTGAACCTGTTGCTTATTAATTGGAGTGTGCGCTAATTCTAGGACACTCGGAAACTCACGAACGTGCCCAGTCAACGGCCCAACACCCATTGTTATCTGAGCTTCAGGTATTACACAGTGGTAAAGGAATCTGCTCACCCGGTATGCATGAGAAGACACTCCACGGACTTCAGGACTTGTGGCCCGCCGCCGGTTGTCAAAGTAACGCCGTGGTCCGGTCACGCCCGATTCCGGTGGAACGGTGAGCACGCCGTTTGTCTCGGGTTCCCGTGCTCGGCCGGGGAGGGGAAAGCACACTGCACTGCTAAAGGAAGACGCGATGTCGTGATGTCCGAGTCCAGTACCTTGACCCACTCCGGAGTTTGGCCGGTCCGTCCGGCCAACAACTCTCTGTCGGCGTTGCTAGCCCATGCTCGCTCGTCTAGCCCCTACGCAATATCGTTCCAGACGGATCATCATCATGTCAAGCTTTCGGAATCGTCGCCTCGGCCAAAACGTTTCGATACGTCTGGGACTCCACCTCCTCCCAGTTGGGCGGTCGCCTAAGCGATTAAACGGGGCGATCTGCGTTTTTATCGAACTACTTCAAGTCGGGCAAATT